ACAATAAAATAATTTTATTTCTTTAAAATACAAGGCAAAACATTTTTATCTTTCCAAAAATGATAATGAAATTATTTTATGTTAGTTTAAGGGGTTAATACTGAAAAGAATGGAACTAAGGATGGGAAAGCGAAATGACGGGCACACGAAGAACTAATAGGAAGCGATCGAATGCCACCTCACACATTATGAAAAACATAAAATCCTTGCTCGAAGAGAGAACAGATATACTAATTTCACCATGATGTTTATTCTGTTTTTATAAGAGCGCTTGATACTTCTACACAATGATTAGCGTGAAAAGCAAAATGCTGTTACCTTATATATATCATGTGATTGCTTTTCTAATAGCGTTTGTCAATTACATATTTGCCAAATGCTATGCGATGATACGTTAGTAAATTAAATGAAATAAATAAAAATGATACATTCATTTAAACTAGCTTCATTTTTTAAAAATATATATTATAATATTTCATCTTTTTAGTGTTTAAATCAGCAAAAATAAATGAAAAGAAACTTAATTTTAATCGGACTCGGGATAAGCGATTTGGATAACAGGATTCCAGACTAGTTGGGTCTCAATAATTAGAGATCTGCTGCGTATTCCTTCACTTCTTTTCTTTCTTTTAGTCATTATTTCGAATATTGGGATCCATAAACATATTGCGAATTACTATGGTTTAAATACAGTTACTTCAAAAAAGGAAGAAGATGTAATAGCAAATTAAAAACAAATTTGAAATCTGTCTTAAATTAATTTTTAATGATTCCTAATTAATCCTTTTTTAATGAGTTCTTTGATTGTTTCAGAAAAGGAATTTAATTTGCTTTTCTTCATTACCATATGTATGCCAAAGAGTACTTCTGATATTAATGCATTAATACAATAAATTAAACGATTATTTATAACGTCTCCATAGAAATAATCTGGTGTCACATGCGTTATAGGCATAATCTCAACAGAATATTTTCTTTATGGAGATATGAATTACTATATGTATTGACAAATAGGATATATTGTTGTTAATAAATCGAATGCTGTTACAGCAAAAATATAGACATATTTTTAGACAGTTGTAAAGTTAGATATATTTTTAGTATTATCTATGCATTTATTTTAAGATTATTTTTTTAAGGTCAAAGCCTTTTTTTTTTTCCTTTTTCTTTTCTTTTTTTTTTCCTTTTCTTTTCTTTTTTTTTTTTTTTTTTTTTTTGGTGGCATGCAAATTAAAGGCTGCATCTTATAACTGACAGAGTTTTAGAATTGAAAAAAATATGGTAGTTAATTATCACAGTGAAAAAACAACTAATAAATTAGAAATTACTCAATTCACAAACTTCTTTAGTTCTTTCATGCCTTTTTAGAAATGCTTTTATTCAATACAAATAATTAAAAAAAATTGCATTTTTATTTTTGATACCCAATCACAAAGTTTTAATTATTAAGTGATAATCAAAACTCTGGAATCAAATATATCTTACAATGCTATAAAGTGTTGGTTATTACTTTTTTTATTCCTAAATCTTGTAAACTCAGAATCATGTAGAATTTTTTTCCATTTATCCAGCATCATGATGCATGAAGTATGCAAATAATTCTTTTCCGAAGAAATTAAATTTATATACTTTAAGAAAACTTTGTTTACTATGTAAGTTTAATACACAGTCCAGTCACATTAATGTGACCATCTGTCAAAAGCCAGAATAACCACCTTTCGCAGAGCGGACTGCTGCGAGACGTGCAGGTAGAGAGTCACATAGGTCCCTGAAGGTGTTCTCTGGGATGTTGAGCCATGCCGACTCTAATGCCGTGGCCAGCTGCGCTAGATTACGCGGTTGAGGATCCATGGCGCGAACAACTCGATCGAGATGGTCCCACAGATGCTCGATTGGGTTTAAGTCAGGTGAGTTTGCTGGCCAGGGGAGGACGGTAAACTCATCCTGGGTGCTCTTCGAACCACGCACGTACACTGGCAGCTGTATGGCACCTCGCATTGTCCTGCTGGAAGATGCCATCATCCTGAGGAAAAACAATGCGCATGTAGGGGTGAACATGGTCCGCAAGGACAGATGCGTACTTGTATTGATCCATTGTGCCTTCCACAATGATCAGTGAACCTAGAGAATGCCAGGAAAACATTCCCCAGACCATAATGCTCCCGCCTCCAGCTTGGACCGTTCCGGCAATGGTTGCAGGGTGGGTTCCTTTCAGAGGTTTCACGCCTTATACGCCAACGTCCATCTGTCCGATGGAGCATAAAACGCGATTCATCCGAAAACGCAACCTGTCGCCACTCAGTGGACGTCCAGCTGCTGTACTGGCATGCAAATTCTAGCCTTCGCCGTCGATGAACAGCAGTCAGCATAGGTGCACGAACCAGGCGTCTGCTTCGGAGGCCCAGACGCAGCAATGTTCGCTGAATAGTACTTTGGGAGACACTTTTGGTAGCCCCTTGGTTCATTTTGGTGGTCAGTTGCTCAACGGTAGCCCGTCTATCTGCCCGAACGCATCTCCGCAACCGTCGTTCGCCTCTGTCATCTATGGCCCGTGGTGCACCACATTTGCCACGTCGCTGATTTTGGACAGTCCCATTTTGCCATGCACGGTACACTTTTACCACGGCGGCACGCGAACAGTTCACAAACTCAGCCGTTTCGGAAATGCTTCCACCCTTGGCCCGAAAGCCAATGATCATGCCCTTTTGGAAGTCGGATAAATCGCTTCGTTTCTGCATTACGCCAACGATTGAAATGTTTTCCGAAGCCCTCACACACCCTTTATTTACGCTCAACTGCACTGTGCTGCCACCTGCCTTCTGTGATTGGTTATTTAACTCTGACATGGAAAGTACGTGGTGGTCACATTAATGTGACTGGACTGTGTATTTTAGGTTTCGTTTGGTTTAATTTATTATGATAAAGAACACCAGGGCTATCTACTTAAGGGAATGAATGCCTTCATGGAGGATTTTTCTGGAATAAACTAGTTCGTATACACGTTACACGTGGGGAAAACCTCGAAATCCCCCATGCAGCCAGCCCAGCCACCTGGAATCGAACCCAGGTCAGAACTACCAGTATTCAGCGATTTTTACCACTCGGCCGCTCAACTAAACTCAGCTGCACAAACAGCAACTAGAAAGCTATGGCCGTCAGTCTCCTGATTACCTGCTTTCTAGACCGTGAGCTCCGGGGTGTTGTGCATCTTTGCCTGGACAAGTGGTCAGCTTGTCGCAGGTCCCTGGTGTTTAAACCCCAAGCGTACTATGTACTCATTTTATCATGTCCCTCAAAGTATGAAAGTCAACCTTGCCCAACCTTACTGAGGATCGAACCGCGGACCTGTGGTGCTGTTGCCCAACGCGCTAGCTACTGCGCCACCGAGTCTCGCTATTCGGCCACTAGTGGCATATTTTAGGAGTATTGTTCTAAAATTGTAGATTGTTACACTAATCGACAGATCTCATATATTTTAAATTATGTAATAATTTAATACTGTGTCAACTAAGGGAATTCCTGATATTCCTGCTTTATTGTTATATCCTAGGAGCACGTTGAATCAATTTATTACTTCTAATATAAAAGAATTGCTAACTGAATGATAATTATTGTTATGATTATATTGTGGTAATTTTTTATTTACTTGACTGTGAATTATTACACTAATTTATTCGTTAAACACAAATTTTTATTATTTTATTTAGCTGTTTAATTTTTATTTATTTACAAGATTATTAAAACAGAAAATTTTTTTGCGCAGAAAATTTGCATCAATTATTTATCAAGGTAAAATACCAAGTTTAAAGGTAATATAAAAAAAGAATGGTGAAAGGAATTATTTTCACAGATTACGAGCTGTAAGCAAATATACAAATTTATATATAAACGAATTTATTTACAATTCCGTGCATTCCATCATCCTAATAATCTGTAATAATTTTAATAGAAAAAAGATCTGAACTGCTATTTTCACTATAATAATTAATAAAAGATCATATTTCGTAGTTATAAATATTTAAATACAAATATAAAAAAATTAGCTACGTGCTTAAAATAAAAAATAAGATGAAATCGTTAAAAATCCCCTCCCACAGCATTATTTAGCAAAGTAAAAAAAAAAAAAAAAAAAAAAAAAAATTTGTTATTTAAATGCAATTGACATAAAAAGGGTTTTTTTAACTGCCAACAAAATGGTCAATATTTTATTTTTTATTTTGTGATTTGGTCTTTTAATGGGCTAACAGCACACGAACATGAGATGTTATTTGTTTAGCAGTAATTTCATTAATTGCTTATAATTCCATTTCAAATATCCGTTTTCAATTTATACACTTTAATAATTCAAAATAAATTTTAAATTTATTATAATTGCTATTACTATTATTTTAATTTTAAATTTATTTATTTATTAATTGTGTTCTTTAATGACTTTTCATGATTAAATTATCATTCTTACACTTCAAATATAGCTGTATTCTAAATCTTTAAAAATGTTACTTTATTCTATAAAACTTTTTAATGATTTTGATACAAAAAAGGGGTTTATTTAACTCCTCTTCAGAATTCTGAGAGAGTTGTAGAGTCGTTGCTCACTTTTTTACTGACACAATAGAAATCAGAAACTAATCTGGAGAGCTTCTCTTACCGCAGGAACTCGTGTCACACTCTTAAACTTCAGGTGTTTTCATCTCCGCTATCAGAACATGCGGGTGTCAATCAAGCGAAACGTAGCCCCTCCTTACAAGCGTAAGTCCCGCCCAGTGACGCAATCAGGCACCCACCCTGAGAATCACGTGACTCGGGAGAGACGTCGCCAAGGCAACGTCACGTTTCACGCAACGCGTCATCTCCCTTCCCCTCTTTCCCTCACCTCCAAAAGCCTGAACGAAAAGAAAAAAATAAAAGAAAAGAAAAAGTCAAAACATCGGACCAATCGGCGAGCTGCATTACCTCACCAATCAGACAGCGCCTTCTCCCGGCCACCCGAGACGGGTACCAGAGGAAGGCGGCAGCAAACGCGGGATCGAACGGTTACGGTGAAGATCCGTGGATCGTCTGCTCGCTCGCGGCAGCACACGCAGTCTCCTTAAACCGACACTGGATTGTTTTGCTCCGAAGGAGGAAATTCGGAGTAGTGTTGATATTCGCGCTGTTCTGCAAAAGTTTTTATCACACATTTTGTTACGCCTTTATCATCGCAAAATGAGGACTTCTGCCTAACTGCAGTCTGTTGAAGTGTAATTTACGTTTGTGCGGTGCCATTAGATTATTAATTTTATCATCAATTGCGTAAAGATGTTATTTTCGGATGAAGATATTTAAAGTAAGACGTTAAACTAAAAATTAAAAGTTTTGGTGTTAGAGACCAGCTAATTACTTTATCCGGCAGAAGAATCATTGAGCTTCGTAGTACTGACTTCTTGAAATGGACATATTCCAACTCCCAAAACAATAACAACAAGCTTTTCGAGAATAGAAATAAGCAGCTGATAGGTACCGATAAAAGAAGAAACTTGAGAGAAAAGTGAGAAACTGAGCCACTTGGATGCGTTGGGTGTATTGATGCGAAGTAAAACAGCTTTCAGGCTAGAGAAGTGAAAAGAACTGGTTTTTCGAGCAGCAGAAGCAAAGAGAGATTTGGGTACTTAGAGTACGGACGGACGTGCATCGGCCGCGAAAAATCGTTTTCCACGATTGATCTCCATGGCATCATGGCCACCAGTCCGGCCAATCCGTACAACGCGGTAATCCACGAAGGCATGCAGGTGGCAACTTCCCAAGCGAGTTACGGCCGAGAGCCTCCAGAAATGAAATATATGCCCCCTAATCCGCACCAGGGCCCAAATGGACATGCTCTCGCTCCCCATCATCAGTGGGTGGGTTTGCCCCCTCACAGCGATCCTTCGCCTTGGTCGGGTGGTGGCATGAGTCTACATGGTGGAGGCCAAGATATTAAACCGAGTGACATACACCCAGGAGCCCTTCACCACCGTCCGCCCCAGCACATGGGGGCACCGTGGCATCCTTCTCTTGGGGCGACGACCCACATGGGAGGTCACATGAGCCCTAGCCCTAACGGCTCTCCTCCCCTGCAGCACCCGTACGGTGCGATGAACGGCATGCTCACCCACGGGGGTGCCCAGCTACACCCGGCAATGCGAGAAATGCAGCATCCTTCGGAGCACCATCCACACCACCAACATCATCATCAGCATCACCATCAACACCACCACCACGATGAACATCACTTGTTGGATCCGAGGCACCACCCGGACGGCTCCGAGGAGGAAGCGCCGAGCTCGGATGACTTGGAACAATTCGCGAAACAGTTCAAACAGAGGCGCATAAAGTTGGGGTTTACCCAGGCAGACGTTGGTCTAGCCTTAGGAACCCTCTACGGCAATGTGTTCAGTCAAACCACCATCTGCAGGTAAGCCTTTTTTTTCATCTCTCTTTAGGGGTATTAAAACTAAGGAAAATAACTAACTAAACTAAGGTCTTTAAACTTGTATTAAAACTAAGGAAAATTACTTATAAGACTTTTTAAAGATTGAGGATATATGTTGATCATAATCATAGTTATAATATGCTTCTGCAGTATTGCATTAGTTTTTACGTTTCTGATAATTAGATTTAATCCCTTCCCATTAATCTGATTGAAGAACTATGGTTATCAGTACAGAAATTAGAATAGCTTAGTGAAATTCAAACAAAATGATTGGAAAAGGTGTGTCGCGATGCTTAATTATTCTTTGGTTAACCATTACGAATTCTAATATAATTTAAACTTCCCTAGGAAAGCAAATTATTCATCTTATGATAGCTTAATTACTTTTTTAACAGTGTACACTTAAAACGTTGAAAATATTAATTTTAGGAGGAGGTTTGTATTAGGTAAAAATTTGTTGAATACAAGAATTTATTTTCTCGAATTTACGTATTGTTTTTTACAAAAAATTCCTAGTTAAGTTCTTCTCGAAGTAATTTTAGAATAGTGTGTCATTATCATGAGACTCTTGCCATCCATTTATTCAAAACAAAACTAATTTCAATGCGGTTTTTCACTTTATATTTATTTCGGGAGAAAATTTGAAATTTCATATGTTCATATTGATGAATAAGAGAATTATTCTGCCACTGCTTTACCTTTATTAGACATTTGACTATTAGTGTTATAGTAGAGAAATAAAACCTTGAGAGTAACTGGATAACGTAGGATTTATTTATAACTTTTCGTCAATTTGTTCAGATGTTAACGAATTTACTACAGTTGTTGCCTATTTCAGATTTCATAATTCATGCACAGAACTAAGCTTAATCGACTGTAAATAATTACAGTCTTTTTCCCAAAAGGTAATAAAGCTGGCTGATATTCGTGTTTTCTCAGGCAGAAGGGTCCTTCTGTCTGAGAAAACACGAATATCAAATAAGTAAATACACTTATTTGCTTTCTTATGTTGAGAGAAAGCTAACGAACCTTTAACTCTCTACTATAACTTAGCATTTTTATTAGGATTTTTGAAACATTCATTAATATTATCATTAACATTTCATTAATATTATCATTAACATTTGAAAGAAATTGGAAAGTTCTATTTATTATCTGGGAAACATTTTGTGCTGTGTGTTATTTCTCTTTATTTAACGATAGAAAAGTCTTTGATTTCTCAAAAGAATAATGCTTATACTATAACAGTGATTTAATACCTGTTAACTTCTGGAAGACTCTAGAAGAAGAAATTGCAACTAATGTTATCCAATTGTAAAAGGGGAGAAGGAATAACGATATGGGGTTTATAACATTGATAAGTGGATTATAAGTGGATTTATATGGATTGTAAATAGATTTTGAAAATTTAAATCTGCTAAATTTTGCTTGCATTTCACTACGATCGTTAGATTTAATTATTTCACTATATGTTTTTATACTCTGTTTCTAAGACTGGAATTTCTAAGTTTTAAGTTTAAAAGTTACTTAAATGAAAATTATATTCACCACTGCGGAAGAACCTCTACGTGTTACTTTATTTTAATTTTGTAATATTATAAAATGGAGTAAGTAATACAATGCAAGAAAATTTTCCATGAATAAGCCAAAGTTTAAAATTTAAGAAAATGTTGTCAGAAAACTATTTAATTTCATGAAAAAAAGAGAGAAAAGGGGCTGGGATTGAAGAGGTAAACTTTTTATGAGTAAGAAGTGTACTAAGAAAAATACATAGATGAAGTAATAAACTAGGCAAATGAAAACATGCAGGAAATCTTTGTTAAAAAATGAAATCATGGAAATGAAAATAATGCAGCCATATAACAAGAAGAAATAATATATTAATCAACTGAACTTAAAAGTGTATTTTCAAAAGATTAAGTTTATTTCGTAAAATTTGGCGAAGGTGTAAATGAAACTAGTTAATAACGCTCAGCTGAAGGGGAAAATTAGCAGCTTTGAATCTGCGAAAATATAAATAATATTACTATTTTGTCTTATGAATCTTATTCAGTATGCCTTCAGAAAGTAAAAAGTCTAAAAGAATTGATTAGAAGTATGTGTTATTCCTTATAAAATATATAAATACATTGAATAACACTGGAAAATTTTTTTACATAATTTTGATGATGATAAAATTTAGATCACGTTATTATATTTGAAAATTGCTACACAGTATAGACATCGGTGTTTCGCTATTATGCAATTAAAATGTATATAAAATTCATATCAGAATACTTAACCTTGTGATTTAACCGTGTAAGCTATAATGCAATATATTTTATAACAGTTTAGGTGCTTAAAATGCAACTTGTTTGAAAATCTCTTTAAGAAAAAAATCAAACGCTTTTCTGTTTAAAGATATAACTAGGCATCACAATGCCTAAACTATTTTTAGCGATGTAGAGTTTAATACTTCCCTGAAATGTGTACTGCCGCAAAAATTTTAAAAATCTCATACGAAAATCATATGATGACTTGAATCTCGGAAGAAATTGAAGCCAATCATATTCCCATAAAGTTTTTAGAAGAGCACGCTTCCAGACATTAATGGTAAAATTGTTTTGCTCTGAAGATAAAAGAAAAATGCAAGCTAATTTATCAACGTAAAGCTACGACAAAAAAAGTGCCTTCTGTAATTAAATTTAACTTGATACGAGTGTTGTTAAAAGGGCGTGGTAAATGAATAATATATTTAGTTAAGTGCAGTTACATGCTATTATTAATGTACAAAGTAATCATAAAATCAACAGACACCTTAGGAAATGTATTTCATGAATCCTTTGGTTTATTTCTCACGTTACGCGATATTAAGTCCTCCAGCCAGCTTCGTTGAAAAGAAGAATTTCATCATCAAAATTCCCTCCACAAACATTGTTTCGGAATGATCATGTTATTCAAATGTTCTTTCTCTGATGCTTTTGTTTCATAACAACGCTGAGTGAATATGTAAGTAGTTCTTAATTGACTTCATTGAAATACTGACCATTCTTCTTTTTAAATTGCTTGTCATGAAGTATGCTGCATAATCAATAAATATAATTAGTTGATTTAACATCATCGTTTTCCTTACATTATTTATTGGTTTATGGCGTCATTTGAATTTGTGATAACTGATGAAAATCGGTGGTTCTTCCAGGCAAAATTTTCAAAGCTGCCACTATATGAGCACATTTGCGGAGATTTCTAATGTGAATTCAGTTATCTTAACATCTGTATTGTTTCGACAATGTGTTCATTGCGTTAAAGAAATTCACTTTCTCTATTAATACAGGAAACACTAGATGAGGAGAAGCCTGCCTCCGTTTTTTTTAATTGTATTTCTCTGAGATTAAATGCGCAGGACAATTTTCATAGAAAACTATATATTATATTTAAATATATCTTTTTCTGAACATTAAATTTAATACGAAATTCTTTTTAATGTTTAAATCTCGTCAGACTGAAAGACTAGATTTAGATCAAAAAAAGGTAGCTCGGCTATTAATATAGCCATGCAATGTAAAGCATCAAGACTGATTATAGCGCTCTTCATTGCGAGTCATGGTAGTTTTGATAATTGTAACAATGATAGAAAATGTAATCATTTGTACTTTTTGTATAGTTAAGTTATACCTGGTGCTTAGCGTTATAGTTTTCAAATGGCAGTTTTATTACTTTTGCTGAGTAATAAAACACCTTTCTCTCTATTAACAGGATATCCCATTAACAGAGACGTCTAGATGCAAAAAAGTGGAAAGTTTTATTCATGAGATTTTTAAAGATGTGTTTTTTTTGGGGGGGGGATACGTCGGGGAAGATTTAGCTTCATCTGGGAGAAAGATATTAATTTCTGTATGTTTGAAATGAGTAAGGTTTTTGATTTTCGGAAATGGAATTTTGGTAGGCAGGTAAATCAACTAATTAAAATATAAAAAGGCATGATTCGCCTAAAAAGACAAGATGCGCAGAAGGTTTTCTGAGACGAATTTTCTCGTACTCAAAAAGCAAAGTGGGAGATTTCTAAAGCGTTAATTCTATGTAAGAGTTTTTAAATAACGAAGCTAAAGATATAGAATAAATTCAGTGTGCATTTGGTTACATATCACGCAAACAAATCTCAAATTCAATTTAAATATCTATTTTTTACGAATAATTTTCCAATAAATATTGTACTTTAGTAAAAATGAATTGTTGATTCTGTTATTACAGCCCTGTTATAAGTGCTTAATACAAAGATATATATGTATAAACAGATGCTGAAGCTGAAGAAGATTATTTGGGATAACGCTTTTCTCGGATAATTTTTGAAAACTATTTTTGACTGCGGTAAAATAAAATTCAGTTAAATTGAGCTTTACTGTATTTGTTTTACTATTTAAATTTTAAAATATGCTAGTCAGTATTAAAAATACATGGTATAAATTGCCTGACAAAACAGTTGCTTGACAGTAACATTAATCAGCTTCCGTCCAAAGTTAGTGCAAATTAATATTTTATAGTTAACAGACAATTAATTATTAGTCTCATATTAATGTCCAGATCTGTTCGGAAGCATACTTGATTGCACCGATAATGATCACAATGTGGAATTAAATTCGTTAGATTTAGCATATGGGCGTACGTATACTGGCAACTGAGTTACTGATTTTTTATATCGCTAGTAGAAATGTTTGATAGTTAGATTGCGTGATAAGCTAGTACATATACCTCTAATAATAAGTACAACTTACTAGCGTGTTCGCTACGGTTTCTAGACACACCTTCAAAACTCAGCACTACAAGTACACAGAGAGAGAGAGAGAAAAATATATTATTACTATTAAGTAATGAAAAGAAAATTATATTGTGTGAATTGATGTATAGCATGGAGGTAATAATATATTTGTTTACTGCTATTTCATTAGTGCAACAATTATGAATGTATGGTGCATGTACTCTCATAAGATATACACTCTTTTCTA